TAGATTTCAGGAGATTTGACAGGATTCCTCAATGTATCCAGCTGGGAAGCTGGAGCTGCCCTGCTAGCAAAGAAAAATGTCCAGACTTACAGAAAGGTCACCAGCACCAGCTTTTAGACCTCAGACTACATGGAATATTAAACACTGTGGTGCTATTGCGTGCAATAAAAGTAGTTTAGATACTTTGTACAGATTTCTGCTGGGCTTTAGTTATCAGTTATGCCTGTTTCTGACCCAGTGTAGCTTTTGTTGGATATCTGGCTTGTGTAAGGGGGCAAGGGGAGGGTGTGTGGAAAAAGCATGGCCTTGGTAGAATCATAAAGGCAGCATGGTACAGAGGTTTCAGTCATTCTAATTTGGGATAATGACACCATAACTCACTCAGGTATCATTCCCTTGGGCGGTTTAGAACTTCTAATGAAAATCTTTATTTCAATTTTTAATAGTAAATCTCTGTATCCACAGAAACCATCTGCTATCTGAAAATTGTTTTTTACTGAGAAATGCATGCTGTATATTCATACCACTTTTTTTGCACATAAAAATAAGAATACAGGATCTGAAACTCCATTTCCAAGCATTCCTTTCCAAACCTCAACAAAGCAAGGTATGTAAGTGCACAGTAAAGAGAATAACAGCTCTGTTTGAGTGTAACAAGCCAAATCAAGCACTGCAGCTCTGTATGGGGAGCTCGGGGGCTGCAGTTGTGAGGCTCAGGCCAGCTTGGTTTGTGTTGGAGTACTGTGAGCTGCAAAAGAGGACTGCTGTAAACACACCTGCATCACACATCAATCAGAAGGCTGAGGTCCATCTGTGCAGGGTGAAAGTACTCCTGCCTTCTTCCTTAATACTTCATTGTGCTCAAGTTATCTCTATTGCTGCTCCTTTCAAAATGTGGAATTAGTCCTTTTTCTCAAGAGAAGCACTATTATTTTAATTGACTTTAAATTTGACTTCAAATAAAATTGCCTTTTATTTTAAATTGACTTTCTATTTATTCTTGAATTTGACAACCAAGCTTACAGGAGACTGCCAAATTAGAAAGCTATTGCTTACATATCTCATTACTTGAACTGTTCAAAGTACTGCATGAATTTGATCTCTTCACAAATATTAATCTGCCTTGGGGTTCTCCTGAGCACCCATTCACTGTGTTTGTGTGCTCATGTTTGTCCCCGAGGGCTCATCTCCCTAGTGAGCATGTTTAAACAACTGAAGTGCTTGTACAATGAAACATTCAAATTCAAGCCTTTATTATTATGCAATCTGGGATTATTTTTTTATCATTAGACTTCCTTCAGAACTGGGTGGTTGACACTCCCTGTTCCAAATTCCTGTCCCATGAGCTAGTTGTTTGGAAAGCCTGGCTAGGAGGACAAACACCATTACTTCTTTTTTTTCTTTTTTTTTTAATCTGGAGAAAGTTCTTTTTCAGGAGGCATTTGGGATTAAACTGTAACCTGAAGGCAGGCCACATAAATAGGATAAAGATCAAAAGGCCAAGGAGAGCATTACTTGGTAGATTGATACAGCTGGAAGCAGTGGGCCTGATTCAAGGTGCTTTGGGGATCAGAAGATTCTTGCACATGACTTAACTGGTAACTTTGCATATGCCCTAAGAGAGGAATGTATACCTGCTCCAGCAGTATGTGTGCTCTGGAAAATAATATGAAAAGGTAGTCTATATTGTGATAAGTCAAGGGTTCATAATACACATTTGCTATTCAGAAAAAGATAATTCTGATTCATTCCATGTCTAAACAATTTTAATGAAAAATGAGACTGCTTTGACTTGACTCTCCAGTCAGATCAGTTGCCCTACAGAACTTTGCTCCTTGATCCCTGTCCAAGAATTTATTTATCAGGGAATTTATACAGCCCTTTAAATTCACTTCCTGATCTGAATTAAACTGTCTTTCATGTGCAAAACCCATTGAAAGTTCCCTCTGTGTGAAGTGCCGATTCCTCTGTTTTTTTCACGCGTTCTGTGATCCTGTAATCCTCTCCCTCAGAGTCCTCCTACGGTATAGTCCACATCCAGAAGAGCATCCATCCCCTTTGCCCACAGGGACAGAAAGCAGGAGCTGTGCTCTTTCTTCAGCATCTAACCACTCAGGCTGCACAAGGAGAGTGCCACAACTTTGTCATTTTCCTTGGCGTGTACTCGTTTTGACTTTCCAGCAGCTTAGCATTTGAAATACCGTAGCCATTTGAAAAGCCAGCAGATCCTTCAGGTTGCCACGTCACAAGTTGCCAGGATAAAAACCAGTGCACCGAATCCCTCTCCTTGTTGCTCTCCAGCCCTTCGCAGGGCTCAGGCAGCTACAGCATTTAAAGTGCAGCTGCCTCCGACGAGCGTTGTTTTGTTGTTGTTTCTGCAGAGGAGCGGCGGGAGCTGACATCATTTCCAGTAATGAAGTGCCCGGGGTTCTTTTATGACTTGCACACTCCACTTCTCCAGAGCTGTACAGTACGTGCTGCGTGACTCCAGGAAGCCGAGGATTTGTTTTGACTTGCTAAAAGAACATTTGCTGTTTCTCTTTACGATTTTGCCCTATGACTTGTCAATTCTCTCCCTCTCTTAAGCATAACTTCAGATTTAATTAGCTGAGTGCAAACATCTTTCATTGCACTGTGGATTAGACTCCTCATTGAGTACACTTAGCAACAGAAAGACGTCTCAATCAGGTGTTTTTGTGTTTGTACTGCAGTGCCCAGAGTGCCCAGTAGCTGTCAATAGACAGTTGCTATTGACTCTCTTTCTAGTGGCAAATGACCAGTGATGTAGGGACCAGTCTTGTTAAAACTTACTTTTGATTTTCAAAGCTCTCCTAAGATCACTTTTCAAGTGTGTTACATTGTCATTTCCCTATCTGCTATGTAGAAAAAAAAAAGATACTTAGGTGCCTTGCAGGGAGATCCTGAAGGTGTTGGCATCTCCCTAGGAGTTCCACAATGACATTGCCTAGCATATTTTAAATGGTGCCATTTGTATTTTGCTGAGTCGCAAAGCAATAGCATCACACACCAGCCTCTATTAGATAAGTTTGGCACCAGCTTCCCTAAGTGTTACCTGGATATACATGTGTGTGTATATGCTTTGAATTCTTCAGGGGTGAATTTCAGTTTGCATTTCCACCACTGAGAACATTCTACAGACCACGAATCACTTGAGACATTTCTGGGGTATCATCACCCAAGCAGCAACCTCCACAGTTCTCCCTAAGTCCTGGAGAAAATGTTTGTGCTGCAGCAACAGCAGCTGATTTACCTGAACGTGCATAGTTGCAAGAAGAACTTTTTGGCAGCATCAAAACCAATGAAGAACAGCACAAAATTCACAATCCCTCTTTGTAAAACTGTCATCCATTCTGCTAGTTCCAGTCTTACTATAAGCACTTTACAAAACACCTTCAACTCCTATCAACTATTCACTTCCCTGGAGTTAAAATTGAACAACTTCATTTTTAGCCATCTCTTCTTTCAGAGATTCTATGCTTTCTGTTTGATTCTTCAGAAGTGAATCATAATTTCAAAACCCTCACTACCTTAGTGAAACACTCTTTTTCCATTAACGTTCAACATGTTTAACACGGGTTCGGACACGTTATGAGAAACTTACACTGGAGCCCTTAAAAAAAAATAAAAATCTGGTGTGATTTCATGCACTGGAAACACCTTTTATGCTGTAAGTATTTCTACAGCTATCAGGAGATATGAGGCATATGGATCTGAGCTAGTCAAATTAATACCATAATGGCTTCTGGCTTAACAAGCACATACAGTGCAAACAGAGAGCAGAACAGCTGTTGTAGAGTTACCTTTTATGTGGGTGGTATAGATGTCTGCCAATTAAAATGATCTGATTAATCATTTCTTGCCATATGATTACTGTTAATAAGAATTTATGCTAACATGTTTGTGTCTGAACTTTGCACAGGTTCATGCCTGCATTTATTTTCTTTAAAAATAGAGCAAATCATGATTGTTTTTTGTTCTTAATGGACTTTCTTTCCTCATCTGAAAGCATTCCAGGAGTTCAGTAACTCAGAGCTGCCAACTATCCCTTAAAGGAATATGTTTTTATCTCCATGTAGTGCTTTCTGCATTTAATTCTGTACATACAGGCCTACAGTTTTTAAGCTGGGAACCTCAGGCTAAGCTTCTAAATCCATATAGCAGCACTTGCAAAGAGAGCATGGCCTTCAAAATATGAAAAGTCCTCATAAACCTTTATTAACCCCTCTGTTATTGCAAACATCTATACTTAATATTTTGCTTAAACTAGTCCCACTGACTGACAGGGTTTAGCTAACTTCCTGTGTGTATAATCAAGCATTGTTTTTCCAGAACCAAATACATTATATTTATGACGAGAAATTTAGGTGAGGCAAAATTTTGTTTTAAATATGTCCTCAGCAGCAAGATACTTTATAGCAAGAAATACAAAAGTCCAAGCATGGTGGGTGTTAACAGGCTTTGACCTAGGATGGTTTGGAGATCTCTCTCTGATCAGAAAAATGTAGTTTAAAATTCTACATAAGCTTGGTAAATACAGTAGAACAGGGTAGAGAGACAGAAAACAATAGCAGTAAAACTGCATGAGACACCGTTTAGCTAGGACAAGTGGCTGGAGATTCGTCATCCTTGTGAATCTTGTTTGGAAGCCATGAGTTTTGGTGGAAGGATTTGTTCCCATGGGACTTTGAACAGTTAACAGAAAATATACTGTAGAAAACAATCCTAAAAAGACTAAGGAGGAACTTGGCAAATAGGTATCTTTCCCTCTACTGAGAGTTCTGCCACCCACATTAGGAAGAACAGACACTGATAAGAGAGATATTTCCATGGCACTTATATTGAAGCTCTTGTGGGCTCTTCGTCTTACAGTGTCCTCCTTACTTCTGCTCTGTCCATGCTCACTGATGCTTTGAGATCATGCTTGCACCTGTTTTCTCTGCAGCATCAATAAATAAAGAACTGTCTTATGTTTTTTCCAGTGTCATCCTGCATTACCACCTACAAGAAGACACCACCTCCAGTCCCACCAAGAACTACCACCAAACCGTTTATTTCCATCACAGCCCAGAGCAGCACAGAGTCTGCCCAGGATGCCTACATGGATGGGCATGGGCAGAGGGGAGATATCATTAGTCAGTCTGGACTTAGCAACTCCACTGAGAGCTTGGACAGTATGAAGGCACTAACAGCTGCTATTGAAGCTGCCAATGCGCAGATCCATGGCCCTGCAAGTCAACATGTAGGGAACAATACTGCCACTGTCACCACCACCACAACCATTGCCACTGTTGCAGTAGAAGATAGAAAGAAGGACCACTTCAAGAAAAACAGATGCTTATCCATTGGAATACAGGTACACTACAGCACATGGATCATATGGCTGCCAGTGTTTTGGATTTCTACATCTGTTTTACTGTTCATTATGCAATGTTTTGTGTATTTTTCTTTTCTTTTTCTGACAGGTACCTATGTAGAAATCGCAGCAGTGTAATCATTCTGCATGGTACTAATGATGTTTTCCTAATTTATCATAAAAACATCAGAGGCGAGGATTTGTTTAAGTCTCCTTGCTGCTTGTTATTCAGCTCTGATAAATTGCACACATGAGCACTAATCTATGAATCATAACACAGCGGGGGTCGGAAAGGCATGAATTAAATCATTGAAAGGGAATGTGTAAAACAATGATTTACATTACACGATCACCCAAAAAGTATTTTTGTCCAGCCTCACTGAATTAATTGTAACTGCTTATTCATGCATTTCATAATGACTGGTAGCTGCTTGAATGAGGCAGCATTGTTCCTATCTCAGCCTCAAGAGCAGAGGGTAAGTTCCTTCTGATTTGCCCTTGTTAAAGAGAATTACATTTTGCTACCTCTAGTGGAACAAAACAAGAAAACTGACACTACCAAAGTTCACTCTTATTTACAGAAAGGAGAAGAGCAAATAAAGTAGACCAATTTAATCTGCTTTCTTAATTAATCTTTCCCATGTCCACCCCACAAAAGATTGTGCATAGGACTCCAAACATCTGTTTGCAGGATTAGCTTCTCCAACAAAGTACTTGAATTTACACAGGTTTTGATGGGAGATGAATCCCAAGCAACTAGAATAGCAATCCACAGCTTACCAACCTTCACAAGAAGACATTTTTTCTTGCACATGGAGGTTGTAAGCAAAGCACTATGTGCCTGGGCAGGTTTATCTGATTAGCAAAGCCTAAGAATTTACCGTGAAATCTCTGCATCAGCCTGATGAGATGAGAGGTGCTGTGTATGCCATCCCAGGGGCAGCTCCTGGAGAAGCCATGACTTTTCTCTGACTTCTTCTTGGAAGGGCAATAATTACTATTGCCTGTGGGTTCAGTTCACTGCCTTTGTTGCAGCCTTTTTCTGCTTCACAGACATTTGTTTTGGATATATTCTGGAAGAAGGGCTGATGTTCAGTGTTAAACAAAAGAGTGAGATCCAGGTGGGACAGGAATAGAGGAAAGCTCTTTTATTACTTATCCCTATACCCAACCAAGCTGAAGGTGCCATTTTATGGTTGTAATCCCTCATTTCACTGAGCAACAAAGACTCCTTAGCAGGCTAGGATCCTGCAAAATAATGGGTAGAAAGAAATAATTTCCACATATGCAGAAGCCAAAACAAACAATGGTAATGTGAATCATGACTGTCAAGACACCATTTCCCTGCTGTCTCTTCTCAAGGTAGTGTTGCTACACACAAGTGCTGCTTTTGAGAGGTGTAGGAGCCTCAGTTTCCTGAGATCTGAGAAAAACAGAGCCCCAAATGCAGTTCAAGCCTTTGTTCAAGCCCTGTAAAACTTTGACATGTACTAGTGACCAGCATAATCACATGTGAAAACTGCCTGGGCGTATGAGGGGCTGCCAGGGCAGGTTTTGTGTACAAACCAATGGAGATACCTACAGCTGAGATTACATGAGGCAAAACCTTCAGCAATGATCCATTCTTACAGAATTCCTGCCTATGTGCCATGCCACTCTCCCAGTTGTGCCCATCCATGAGATTTGAAGAGTCAGACAGACTTCACGAATAAAATAGAACTACTTTGCCAGTCCCCTGTCTCGTCTGTTTTGCAGCATCATTGCACAAGCAGTTGTGCTGGTACAGCTGAAGTGGTAGTGTAGGAGTGGAAATACTGTAAGGTAGCTGTTACTGACAGAAATTGCTTCTCTTAGAAACAACTGCCCTAAAATAAGTAGGTAGGGTGTAAGCAGTCTGACTGGCAGTATGAAGTCAGTCTCTTTCCACTGACTGTAAAGGGAGCCTAGTTAAGGCTTAGATTGAACTTAGACACCTTACTTATACACCTTACTTACAGTCTGGCCCATCTCTGTAGGGCAGGTTAAGCTGCTTTAGCCAGAAGCATATTCTTGGTTTGTTTCCTCCTCTAACAAATAAACCTAATGTGCACTTGTGTTGAACCTCCGTGCATGTCATCTGCACCCCTCAGTCACTCTTAGGATACTGTATCCTTTGCTGTAAATCTGTTTAGCAAACAAGCAAAGCAGTGCAAAGAAAAAACCTGCCATCAAAAAGTTGCTTTTCTTGTCAGTTATGGGGTTTAAGGCTTAGTTATCTTCCCAAAAGCCTCAGTATCAGGTAAATACCTTACTTCACTGAACAGCTCTGTAACTCCCATCCCTCCCTGAGCACTTTTCCTGCATAGGCTTTTCAGTCGGCACTCAACAACAAGCTTATTTACTGCTAACTACAGTGGGGAATTTTGTACACCCACAGGTGGATCCACAGGTCACTTTGTAACACTGCTGTGGTCCAAAAATTCTGTGTGCCAGAAATGTTTTTTTCTTGTATGACTAACAATATCATATATGGCACTGGGAGCTAACAGCTACACTGATTGGACCCAGAAGTTTGTGGTTTTGCTCAAAGACACATCAGTGGTTAAATTTTAACTTTATACCATTGGTATAAATCTCCTTACAGAGACGGAGAGGTAGCGTAAAGTTCCTGTCTGCACTCCTGGGGACCACCTGTTTTCTTGATGAAGCAGCAAAGAAAATGCATACAAGAGCTGCATCTGCTTTCTTTCAATTTTATCTGCATAGTGCTCTGATTCAGGGCACTAACATTTAACAAAATAAACACTGATTTTGACATGAGTTCACATAAGCATGCACATACAGTCTAACAGGTCAAAGCAAGCAAATGGTGGAGCACAGTAAGTGGTGTTACAGCTGCTCAGAGATTTGCTCTGGCAAATGTGAGCATGCAGCCTCCATAAAATACTGGATAAACTCCATCTGCTTTTTGCAGGCTGAATGTTGTCTTACCAGAAATGCTATACAGATTAACAAGAATGATAAGTATTCACTAATAACATGAGAAATGAGCACACCACAGATAAACTATCTGACTAGATTAAGGTACTTATAGTATAAGCTATGTGTCCAGACTGTAGTTATCATGCATAGAAATTGTAAGTAGCTGGGTGATATATATGCTAAAATACATTCTAATTAGCTATTTAATTTTTTTAAGGTGGATGGTGCAGAAGAATCCACTAAATCAGGTGAAAATAAAGCAACCAGTAAGTTCCAGTCCATAGGAGTTCAAGTAGAGGAAGAGAAGTGGTGAGTATAAAAGTTAATATATTTTTTCTAAAGTAAATAATTATGCCACAACTAATTTTTAAGAGCCCTAGTTCCTGTACACATGACCATATAAACCTACTTCCTGGACAAACTGTTAGATCACCCAACTGAAAAGCTGAGTCTTAAAAATGCTGTAGCTCTTATTTCTCAGAGGGGATTTTTCAGGACCAGTGGGACAGCTGGAAGAAAAGTACCACATATTTTGAAGGTCAATATACTTTTAATATGCTCTTTTCCCCTAGAAAATATACCTAAACAGTGGAAGGTGATGCAGCTGGAATATTAGTCTTAGGATGGTTGCAGCAGCATAGGGTAGATGAGGAAGTTTACCTTGTTTATCAGCAGAGTAATTTCAGCCACGTAGAGCAGTGCAATGGCAGAGCCAAACTGATTGCTTTTGCTCAGGTATCTCGCCCAGACATCTCTGCATTACAACTGCTTCCTTGAAAAAAAAAATGTTGCTATTAAAAAGCAGGCCTCTAAAACTTGGTATTCTCTCCAATCTTCAATGTAACCTGAATTAGTAAGCAAATATGCTCAAATAAAAAAAAAATAAAAGTATCTAGAATATCTGTTGTCTTTAAGGGTTATGCTTCCTTTTGATGACAAATTGCAGTTACATTGCAGGGCCGCATCATTGTGCATAGCACTTTCCAGACACATGAAGTTTCTGAGTCTTCAGCCACAGCTGCAAATCTTCATTCTTGGCGAAAACTTCAGTGGCTGAAGAAAGGTCAGACTCTTCCCTCACCTCTGAGCCTGCAGGCCTGCCCAGTGCTGTTGAGGGTGCAAGCACCCACCCAAGGCTTTGCTTGTTTGTCACGAGCCACTTGGGCAGAGCATAACTTCTGGATGCTGGAGCTATTTTGTTGATAATGTGCTGTAGTACATCGCGGGAGAAGACTCAGGGCAGTATCGCTTGTTGGTGAGGGAAGAGTCACCCTTGCAATCTCTCTGAGTCTTAAAAATGCTGTAGCTCTTATTTCTCAGAGGGGATTTTTCAGGACCAGTGGGACAGCTGAAAGAAAAGTACCACATATTTTGAAGGTCAATATACTTTTAATATGCTCTTTTCCCCTAGAAAATATACCTAAACAGTGGAAGGTGATGCAGCTGGAATATTAGTCTTAGGATGGTTGCAGCAGCATAGGGTAGATGAGGAAGTTTACCTTGTTTATCAGCAGAGTAATTTCAGCCACGTAGAGCAGTGCAATGGCAGAGCCAAACTGATTGCTTTTGCTCAGGTATCTCGCCCAGACATCTCTGCATTACAACTGCTTCCTTGAAAAAAAAAATGTTGCTATTAAAAAGCAGGCCTCTAAAACTTGGTATTCTCTCCAATCTTCAATGTAACCTGAATTAGTAAGCAAATATGCTCAAATAAAAAAAATAAAAGTATCTAGAATATCTGTTGTCTTTAAGGGTTATGCTTCCTTTTGATGACAAATTGCAGTTACATTGCAGGGCCGCATCATTGTGCATAGCACTTTCCAGACACATGAAGTTTCTGAGTCTTCAGCCACAGCTGCAAATCTTCATTCTTGGCGAAAACTTCAGTGGCTGAAGAAAGGTCAGACTCTTCCCTCACCTCTGAGCCTGCAGGCCTGCCCAGTGCTGTTGAGGGTGCAAGCACCCACCCAAGGCTTTGCTTGTTTGTCACGAGCCACTTGGGCAGAGCATAACTTCTGGATGCTGGAGCTATTTTGTTGATAATGTGCTGTAGTACATCGCGGGAGAAGACTCAGGGCAGTATCGCTTGTTGGTGAGGGAAGAGTCACCCTTGCAATCTCTCCAGCAAAAACCTGGATGCAGCAAGTCTGGGCTGACAAAATTAGGGCCCTCTGCCCTCCTCTGGCCTGCTGTCTGTGGTAGCAAGTAGAGGAAATGCCCATTTTCACACTGTTGGCTTGGTTTGGTTTTTTCCTGCATCTGCTAAAAGTACTCAAAAATAATACTTTATCTACACCATTTTCAATTCAACAAAATCTCATAGTAAAGGAGCAGAGTATTTTCCTATGGTCTTAAAAAGCATAAAGAACTGTGATTTTGCAATGACCCTGGTAGGCTGTTATCAAGTTCCTCATTAACCTGCTAAAACATCTCTAGCTGGCAGACATTTCTTTGTGTTAGACCTTAGTCCCATTTACCCACAACTCTTCCAGTGCTAGATAAATGAGCACATCAGAATAAATGGTGAAGGACCATTTCCATTCTTCCTGACCACAAAGGAAAAACCTACCCCAAAAACCCAACCCTCCCCAGTCCCTCAAAAAAACAAAAACAAAAAACCCAACAACAACAACAAAAACCCACTGTGGAAAAACGAAGAAAGTAATGGCTGTTTCTAAATACCTTACTTCCAAAGTCCTCTTTCTATTGCAGTTTTTATTGCTCCAGAGAAAAAGGTAAGATCTGCCTGTGAGGGTCTGCCCTGAGAATGCAATATTTCTGCATTATCTACTGACAGCTCTGTTTGGGGGTTTCCTTGCTGATAAAGTTGAGGTTGCTGCTGTTTGGAGCAGCTGGGTGAGCAGCAATCTATCATGGACTTTCAGAAGTGAACTGGCTGATAAAGGAGAGCCCCTAATCCTTAGAAAATGAGTACACTCAAAACACAAAGGGCTTATCACCACAGTTTGGCACTCATATTCCTTTTTTTTTAACCCAGCAGAGCACAATGTATTGATTATCTGTTAAAGGAACAGAATTGTAAATACAGTGCATTCTTCCCTGCCCCATAACATCTGCAGAGCCTCAGAAAAGCTCCTTTGAGTTAAATCTTTGATTAATTAATGTTTTTATAAAACTTCCAGGCTTCAGAAATATTAAGTAAATATAAAATAAGGAGAGAAGACACAGCAAAGAGGATAAATATTGTAAATTTGTCATGTTTCTTTGTCAGTCTAAGCTATTATGTACATTGTTGTAAAACAAGAAAGCTCTTTGCTTAATGCACCCAAAGCCTACCATACATCATTTGTTTCACTCCTCTTCTCTGCTTCCTGCTCTTTCCTCCCCCTTTCCCTCACCTCATATGACTGTTATTTTCACACTAAGGAGTCTTACCTCGCTCCTCATGTCCTCTTAAATATTGCTGCTTCTGTGCTCAGAGCAAGTAAGCAAAATATTTTACCTCTGTTTCCTGATCGAAGTAGCTTGAAGCCAGAGCATCTTCAGAAGACAGCTCTATCTCTTCCATCTTCCATCTCCACTCAGACCTTTCATTAGCCCTTCACTCCCTGTAACCTGGGCTTCCTGCCAAGACAAATGGCTCTGAGTCTTCCTCCTCCTCCTCTTGCACTGCTCAAAGGATAAATGTGCCTACTGCTACCTGACCATATTACAACTGGATCCATCGCTGATATTCATCTTACCCTCAGTTCTTTATGCTCTCAATAATCTTTTTCATTCCCATTCCCCAAGTGCAGCTCTATGATTTCTATCATTTATAGAATAGCTCTGTCCAGTCCTTCTTGTGGAAAAAAAAATAATAAAAATTGTATGTGTTTCTATCCACTTTTTGATCTTCCTGCTATTACTCTCTTATCTCACCTGGTCTCCCCCATGATGCTAACAAAATCCCAACCAAAATGTTCCTCCCCTTTCCTCATATGACCAGTGCAATTTTGCAATGTGTATTTAATTAAGCTGATCGGTGCAATCTCAGGGCACTTCCATTTCTGTCCATTTCTGTTTGTCCCTTCTACTTCCAACTTCTTCTTGACCTCAAGGGACCACCTTCCATTCCTCACTTAGAGAAGTTAATTGAGTTGTTGGAAGTCAACCAGTTCTACTGAACCAGAAAAGAAGTCATCACATGTTACACCAGGCTAATTAGCACACATCCCTGTTGAACAAGGGGCTCTCAGGCCCATAGCTCTGTAATCGCTTTCAGTCTCTCTTGCTTTTTACCTTGTCTGCCCTAAGATCTCCTCCCATTACATCCTCACCTGCAAAATTGTCTTTTTTATTGCTTCTAGTTATACCATCAGCTAGTAATTGTACTTGGTTTGTCTTCATAAGAATTTATGAATGCTGAAACAACAATAGTTTCTGAAATAAGGACACTGCCATAGGAGACTAAGACCATAGACAGATAGTCTTTCTCCATTTTCTCTGGCTTCTGTGGGGGCAGGGAAGGTGCTTCCACCTCTTGGTGTGGTATAAAGTGTGGTTTATCACACTGTACCTCTTGGTGTTGTATAAAGTGAATTTTTTTTAAATGGTGGTGGGGTAATATAAAGAAAACAAACAAACAAAAAACCCCACAAACTTCTTCTGTCTCTTCAAGGAAAAAAAAACAACAACACATTTTTGGCTTTTGTTACTATAAAGAGCCATATTTTTGTCTATTTTTTTCATTTATGTTTTTAGGTTTAATCACTTACCGTCTTGACAAAAAAAAAAATACGCAGGTTTTAGGGTTTTCCTTGTGCAGCAGGCTAGTCCTACACTTTAATTTAAACTTCTTAACTCATTTTTTTAGGACAGGACCCTCAAATCTATATTTTCAATGAATCACAGAATCACAGAATGGTAGGGGTTGAAATTGAATGATCTAGTCCGATCCCCCCTGCTAAAGCAAGTTCACCTAGAGCAGGTGGCACAGGTTTGCATTTAGGCAGGTCTTGAATGTCTCCAGAGCCTATTTTGGCTAACCTGAGCTGGAAAACTCTCTGGTGGGAAATTCACTGAGAAATTCTGAAGGTGATAGATGTCCCATCCCTGGAAACATTCAAGGTCAGGTTGGATGGTCCTCTGTGCAACCTGACCTAGTTGAAGATGTCCCTACTCACTGCAGGGGTATTGGAGTAGAGGACCTTTAAAGGTCCCTTCCAATCCAAACCATTTTGTGATTTACATGCTTTAAGTTTTGGTCAGCCCTGAATTGGTCAGGCTGCTGGACTAGATGATCATTGCAGGTCGCTTCCAGCTGTAACAGTCTAGAATAGACATTCAACATACAGGATTAGAGTTTCCCTGCTAAGACTCTTATTAATGAAAAAAAGACTGTGAAAGGGATAGGGAGGGAGCAAAGCACAGAATATTGTGTAGCTTTAAGATGTATGTCCAAAGATTCTTCCATTAGAAGACATAGTACCAGATCTGCTAACTCTTCTGTGGTTTGTTTTTTTTTCTGCTGTCAACAGTTTACCTTAACAGACAAGCCCACAAGCAAGAAAGAACATAAGCAATGGGTAAATTGAGGCAGGCTGAATTTAATGTCAGTGCATCTGAGACCACCATGCATCAGTGCGTTTGAAACCTAGATCTCTTCTGGGTTTTTGGGTTTGGTTTTGGTGCTTTTTTTTTAAGAGAGAAGTGCTCTGAGTTGAAATATAAACATGTTTTTCAAAAGAAAGCAAAAGACTTAAAAGTGGAGAGCTGAGCTACAAGTGACCCTGCTGTTGCTGTTCAAAACACATCATGCTGTTGTTCTCCATACTGGTCTCTCCAGTCTGAGGTTTCATGGCTTTCTGCACCTTAGGCCAGATCTGCTGCAGTTCTCTGAAGCTGTAATTATTACACCTTGTGCCTGCAGGGCATGACTGAGTACAAAAGGGCCAAGCCTGAAAGCAGAGGAAGAAGAAAATCTTTGTTTTTAACGATTAACAACAATTTATTAAAACCTTTGGGGTTTGTTTGTTTGTTTAGGTAGATTTTATGTGTAGAAATAGTGAAAAGTTAGGCATTCACTTTAACAGCTCTCCTGTGGTATGCAGCTTTAACTGAGAGCAGCCAAACACAGCTCATGCGAGACACAAATGGTATTTTGTAAGAGTAGAACATCCTGGAAGTGAGTGAGGAAGCTATGTCAGAGACTAAAATTGCCACCTATTAGACATTTTGTATAGATGTTCAAAGACTAGGCAGACAGTGGATGCCTTCCTGCATTTCCATTTCATTCAACATACATTTCCTTGACAGTCTTTTTTTCAGTTTTAAACTGATGCTACATTCTATTGCCAAGTTGTTTTGCTTTTGAAGACAGATAGGTAACACAATCCAGTGCAAAGAATCTGTCGAGCAAGCCTGTACTATACTATTACATAGATAAAACAAAGGGGGAAAAAAAAAGAAAAAAAATTAGAAGTAGGGAAAAAAAAATAGGTCATTCTATTTTATTTGTTGAGGTGGTACTAGCTCATGCTGAACTCAGTAAGAGTACTAGCTTTGAAATGTAGTGCCTCAAGCAATACATGCTCTTGGCAAGTAGACCTTGATGTTTTCACATTTGGAATTTAGTGTACACTGAAAAGCCAGAGTCTTAACTGAAAATACAAATGGTCATCTGAAACAGAAGGATATCAGTGTTTAAGGCACTGGGGAAAGCAGAGAAGGCAGCTGCAATGCAGAGGTAGGAGGAGAGAGAAGAACAAGCCTGGGTTAAGGCTATTGCCTTTCTCTCCATTACCATGGAAGGTCTGGAAGAGTGCACTGTGTACTAATGCCTTGGCTCTCAGTGAACCCTGATTTAATCCCTGAAAACAAATGTTGTGTAAGTGTGTGCCTGTGTGGGCACACACAGTTTTGTAGGTGCATGTAGGCACACGTGTGCATGCATGCACACACTTCAGTGCAGATAAGGGATTTGTCAGGTTGGTGGCTGAATTAAAGCAATTTAAAAAAAAAACAAAACTAACATAGAATGGAGCAAGATTTTCATTGTAATGTCAGCCTAAAGCTAAAGTCTTTCTAACCACCAATACCAGCCTATAAGCTTTTCTCTGCCAGGGTCCAGTAGCAGATACTTAGGAAAATTATAAATTAATGTGTGTGAAGGAAAAGTAAAAAGGGTGTGTATAAAGCACTGTTTTTCCCAGTAGATCTTCCCAATTTAGCAGTCTGTTGTTCAGGGACTTCCTAAGCCAGACATTACATCTGTACAATAGCTCTTCCTGGACCCATCTCCTGTGAATTTGGTCATGTTCTCTTTGAACCTATTTTTACCTTTGGTTTTCCCATGATCCTGTGGCAATTTAATTATACATTGTGTGAAGAAATACTTCCTTTCACTGGATGTTAATCTTTAGGCCTTTAAGCCTTGCAACTAGCTGCATTCCTACCCACAGTTTTGCACTCTGAGAAATGGTGAAACATCACCTGATCAGGATTTCATAGGTCTCTCATATCTCTCCTCAGCCATCTGTTTTCTAGACCAAGAAATGTCTTTCCTTCTATGGAGCCCACACCATATCTCCAGAGATCTTTGTTGTCCCTTTTGAATTTTTTTCTGCTGTGTCACTCTGTAGCAAAATGTTTTTCACTGCTTGTCAAAGAATAAATACTACTGAGTTGAAAAGTTCTGCTCATTCCATATTTTTCAGTTTGCTGGTGCATATCATGCAAAACTATGGTGGTAAAACCATGACTTTGGCATAATTTAGTTTTCAAAAGAACTGCAAGAGGCAGGCGCTACATTAAAATGTTTGTATTCTAGGCCATTATAAAAAATATATAGATACATTCTATTATTAAAGTTTTCCAGGGACTGGTGTGGCTGAGAAGTTAATTTGAGCTTTCTTCTGCAGAGGAATTGGCTTTCCTTTCTTTTTAGTTGGAGAACCCTTCTCAACTCTAGTTTTGGTTTGCTCTGATCCTCTCAAAGGCCCAGAGCAGCAGCCATTAATTTTCTCTCTAAGTAAAACTTGATATTAAGTTCTCCCTGAAGTCTGCTGCACTCCTCCTGAGCTATCTGGATGTATCAGGTATATAGGACATTAAATTCCCCCTCAACATCCTTCCATCTGTTCACTCCCCAGCTGCAGACTAAATTCACCTGACAAAGTTTTGCTGTCACTTAGACTTGTCTAATTGGCTACTGCTCTTTAGTGGAAGGTGGAATATAAATGAAAGGGAGTTAAATGGTGCTTAGCATCCAGCTTCACTGTATCCTCAGCACTTTCATTGCTGCTTAAGCTCAAACTAAAACTAGAACTGGTAAGTGTGAAACAGCCAAAATATCACAGTGAAATGGGTCCTACCTAAGTCTGTTTTCAAGAAGAAGTGTGAGACTGTGACCAAATTAGAAGTGAAGGAGCAGCTGCATGAGTGCACAGAGTTAGTAAAAAGAAGGGGAGGCAATCTGTCCTTATTCAGTTCAGAACTATGTTATTTCTGAAGCCTAAATACTACTTATTTAAGTAACATCTACATCAATTACTTTGTAGTTTCATCATGGATTAAGACAGATGTCTGCTTCACGTGTTTTCTTGTGTTCCTCAGTGCATCAGTTTCTAGAGCTACCCTGACTGTAGTTATTTGCCTGCAGATTTTCCACTTATTTCCTCCACAATTTATTGCTTGCCATAACTGCTCTCACTGCTACCCCTACAACAGCATTAGGTGTCCTAGTCCTTACACTTCCCTCTGTTCCTTCTCTATCAGCCTCTTCACATCAGATGCCTTGGACTGCAGAATCTGGAGTGCTGTTTTACATAAAGAAAACCCAACCAAATGTAAAGCCCCAAAACTCCTCTTTCCCCTGCTTTTGCCTTTACCTTCAGGGCTTGGTCTCTGCCCTCAGAGGCTCCCAATGTAGGGGAACTATGCAAGGTGAAAGGAAGCTACACTACAGGACAGCAGCCACCACAATGAGGGTAACATAGATAGCAACTAAGAATACTAGCTTTGGTGGAGAAGAGAAGACCATTTTGAAACTGAAGGCTGAATGTGAAAAACAAAATCTCTGGACACAGGGAATGGACACTAAAATTGTAACATATGGCAGTGGTATTAGCAGGTACATAATTATGAAGAGTAATTATGAAGAAGTAATACAAAATACTTACCTAGATTAAAAATACTTATCTTCTTTATAAATTGAATGTATAATATTACATATATAGTGGACTCATTAGTATTACTATCTTAGCAATCTCACATATATCGTTTTTAAATGTGGCTTGTGAGTTTGGTTGGGTAACTTCAAAGGGCCGTGAATTTTAGAAGTTGAAAGATAAGACACTTCTTAAAATTGAGCCCTTTTAACTTCACATTAACTGATAACCTAAAATCCTGAGCTACTGACACTACAGGCTGTCTCTTGGACTAGCCTCTGGCTTTGTTAAACCACACAACAGTTAGGGGTACTTGCCTCAATTAACAGTGAGCTTGCATGGAAAAAAGAGATGTTTTTGTGTTGGCTTTCAATGAGAAAAGAAGTTTATGCTGATCATTTAAAGGAAAAGCACCTGAGTGTAATGCTGAGAGCCATGACTGCCAGTCTTAGGGGAGTGGGAGAATCTTAATAAATCCTTTCTTGCCAAGTTTCCAAGAAAAAGCTTTCTAAATATTTTATGTTTGTGTTCTACAAAGCTTTCGCAGGTTTACACGATCTAATAGTGTAACAACAGCCGTGCAAGCAGACTTGGATTTCCACGAGAACTTTGAAATAATCGACCCTCAAGAGGACAATACATGTTCTGGACAAATATCAAGACAATTTTCCCGAGATGCAAGCACCTCCACCGTTAGCATACAAGGGTCAGGAAACCATTATCATGCCTGTGCAGTAGATGATGACTTTGATACAGATTTTGATCCATCAATTTTACCTCCTCCTGACCCCTGGATTGACTCTATCACTGAAGATCCTCTGGAAGCCGTTCAAAGGTCCGTGTGCCCACGAGATGGCCACTGGTTTCTGAAGCTACTTCAGGCAGAGAGAGATCGTATGGAGGGCTGGTGCCAACAGATGGAGAGAGAAGAACGGGAAAACAACTTACCTGAAGACAGTAAGTAACTGTGTACAATAATATTGCAACTACCAAAAAAAAAGTAATATAGGTCAAATTTACTCCAGGGAATTCTGTATCATGACCTTTCTTATTTAGCTAATGAAGCTTTGGTCATGATTTTCAAAATTGCTTTATGTATGTATATAATGACTGCTATTAAAGCTGACAGGGAATGCAAATGCTTGGCACTTCTGAAACTCCACAGGTATTAGCTTTTGGGATTGCATAGTTCAATGGATAATTAGGAGATCACAGTTAGGGATCTTGTAGTATAAATGTTTCTTAACTCTCTGGTTTGAAATCACTTCTTATAATGTAAGAATTTTATTGAACAGATTTTTGTACCTTTTCATTTAATTAACATTTTAGTTGCCTTTTTAGATGGTAGTTGGCATCAAAGGCTTCAGGTGCTTCTCTCAAATTAAAGATTTCAGTTGTGCTTCCAAATTGTTCTCCCTCTCTTCCCCTCTCCAGTCTCCCTTCATCTCCCTTGCAGTTCTCATTCCTTTTTGATCTTTCCAGTAAAACAAGCTCTCCATATTCTGTGATAAAACCCACACGCATGCAAACTACATCTCAGCTGTCACCACTGCCAGAAGTATTACCCCACTTGTAAGTTAATGGGAATGCCTAGTTAGCCTTCATTAAGAAGGTTTGAGTAGCTCATGTCTCGTTCCTTTGCTCTAATTAGGGAAGAAGAGCTGAACATGTGCTTCCCTGTCCAGATTTTTTTTTTCCCAGTGAAAATAGAAGGTTTTCCCATTTCCTTCCATTACAAGGAGCAGTACTAATGATAGCTGTTGACTAGCAGATTTACCTATTGACTTTACCTATCTAGCAGATAGGTAAACCTGTGAACTTAGGGGCACATTCCTTGTGAATAAAGCTTTTTCAAATTCTAGCAGGGAGTTCCTATAAAACACTAAGGAGCAGCTGCATATAGAGAGGTCAATATTGTGTCATTTAGGCACACCTAAGCGTATTTTCCTGGATATACATATAACATTTTTCTAACCCACAAATTAGCTCCTGACAATGCAAAAACTAGTACTTCAGCTCCAGGATTGCTTCTTCCAAATTTCTAACCCTTCCTGTCAAGAAACGATAAGTAATTTGAGATGTAAAGGTTTTGATTTATGGCAGGCAGGGAATTAACACTAGCAATTTTAGTTTAGTTTAGGGTTTTTTTAATTTTAGAAATGCATGGTGAGACTCTGGAACAGGTTGCCCAGAGAGGTTGTTGATGCTGCCTCCTGGGAAGTGTTCAAGGCCAGGTTGGATGGGGGCTTGGAGCAACCTGGTCTAGTGGGAGGTGTCCCTGCCCATAGCAAGGGGCTTGGAAATAGATGATCTTTAAGGTCCCTTCCAACCCCAACCATTCTATGATTCTGTGATTCTATGAACTGATAATAATGGAAAAACCTACAGATACTTTATTTGTGCACCAAAGTAGTTGTTCACCTTGGGAAAAGAACATGAAGTGAATTTTACAAGGCTGGTACATGCAGAACATGTATATTAATGTACAGAACTTTCCCTCAGCGTCTTGGTATCGCTGATATATGATATTTTTAAAGGGCTCTTCTTCGAGCAGTTGGTGGTAGAAGTCAGTTACAGGGAAGATAAAGGAGCAGTTAGGCTGGCTATTCCAATGCCTCTTTACAGTGTACATGATGTGTCCTGAAGATTATTCTTCCTCTTCATTTTTCTCACTGGCACTTCTCGCGATCACTGGAAACAAGAGAAGGAAAGGGATCACCTGAGTTTTGTGATCACCGGTGAGGTACTGATTTTGGTGTGATGCCATCAGCAGCACGTGGCAGCTGCCTCCCACAGAGGCTGCGTGGGGCCTTCTGCAGCTGCTCAGCACACTCCGCTCTACCTGGTGCCAAGGAAAAACATATGGTCAGGGCCACACTGCCCGCTCAGCAGCACCAAAACAAAAGCCTGGCTGTTACAAACCCTGCCCCAAAATACGCCTTTTTCATACATCCCTAAACTTTGAAGAGAGGGAGAAAAGGAGCAGAAGCGGTGTGTGCGCGCTTCGGTTTTCCTAATAAAATGCAACCAGAGCAGGGAATGCACCCTTTGTTTTCAACCTGACACCCCCAGCGTGTGTTTGGCCAGATAACAAAATAACGAGAACGTGTGACAAGTGAGGTTTTCTCGATGCCACGGCAGCTGACAGAGGGCTCATCCCCCCAGTGCTACACGTAAAATGATCCGCGTTTCCTCCAGACAATGCGGCCCTTGTGCGAAACAGCTGTCTCGGGGAGACAGCTCGCTGCTGTTTGACAGTAGCTTGTATGTTACATAGATACGTTGGGTATTATCTAGCTGGGAATGAATCTAGCAGATGGGCTTGAATGTTTCTAGCTGGGAAATGGAGTCTACTGCTGTGTATAAAAACAAGCTGTGGTTCAGTGGCTGCACAATGAAATGCCAATATAGAGAGAAATGTGGCTCCCCTTCTGCCATTAATTATTTATTGTATTGTATATTCTGGTTTTATCTCAAATAATTTTCTGATAAAGCCATGGCGTGTGTAACGGGCAGATGAACAGCACTCACACTTTAAGCTAGGATACTTGATACAGTTTCCGTGTGTTTTCCTGTTACAGGGATATGGCTACAAACTCTAGGGTTTTCATAAAAGAAAAAAAAAAAAAAAAAAAAAGAGTAACGTTAGAGATATAAGGCTAAACACCTTGTGAGAATCAAGTGCTGCTTTGGATCAGGCCTCGAGTGAAACAGCTTAACTTTTTTTTTGTTTGCTTTCTCCTCAACCCTCTGCTTTGTCCTCCTGCCTCTCACCTGCAACGTTTCGTATAGTCAGGTCCTCGTTGCTGACTTTTGGCTCAGGTCTCTGGTGTAACCATTTACACACAGAATTAGCAGCAACAGGTTCCACTCCCTCTGCAGTGCTGCTAGTGAGCAGCCTCTGGCTGCTTTTTATCCCAGCTGTGGTGGACACAGGAACATACACCTGTGGCCTTGGCCTGGCTTGTGCTGGATTTTTTGCTGGTGTTTTTATTTCACATGGGGCATTCCATTTTCTGGAAGAAGCGGAGGGCTTAATTTTTCCCCCCTGTTCAGAAATGTTTATCTTTCACATGGGGTGGTAATGTGGCTTCAGTGGGAAGATAACCATCAGAAGCAAGCAGTGGGCCTGGCTCACCACAGTCAGGTGTAATGTGGGTTTAGTGGCGAGACAAGTCCGACCAATCAAATAAAAACTAAAACAGAAAACCAAGGCTCTGACAAGACATGTCATTATAGCTGTCTTGTGTGTGTATTATACTCCTCTGGGCTAGTCTGTGAACAAAGGTTGACCTCAAATCTGCAGCAACCTCGCTGCTTAGGATCAGAGTCTCTGCAAATTCAGCCAGTTCTGGCAAATCATGCAATGCTTGCACACTTTCTGTGCTTTTCTTTTGATTCAGTTTTTTTCAAAGGAAAACTTAAAGACTGAAGGCTAGAAACAAGAAATCCAAAGAATTGCTTTGGTTTTGTTTTTGTTATAGCTGTGCATGGCAAAAGAAAAGGAGTCCCATGAGTTCACTCTCAGAAAGGAAAACAGTTTGCCAGTCCTCTGCAGGGCTTCCCCAAGCCATCCTGGTCCCTGCCTCCCGGAGGAGCGAGGTGGCCTCATCCCGCAGCAGCCTGATGCAGCCTTCCAGAGGGACAGTCACGAGCCTGACGTGTGGCCGAGTCCTGCTGGAATACCCCTGGCTACGTGCCTCTGGCCATATGCCCGGCTCGTCCCTTTCTTGTTCTGGTTTTCTTTCCTCCCCAGAAGGGACTTCTCCATAAGCGAGAGTTTCTACAAGGAAAGCCAACCCCTGGCTGGAAGCCCTACCAGTGTCCAAAGGCTAGGAAGAAGAAAAAAAAAAAAAGGTTAAAAAAAAATAAAAATCTGCAAGCAAGGAAACAATCTAGTTAGGGAAAAAAAAAACCAAAACATGAACTGTACTAATAAAAGCCAAGTAAGTCAGAGAACACATGGAAACTTACTCTCAGTGAACAGCATTTGCTCATGCAGACAGCCTTACTAATTTCAATGAGATCACTCCTTTAAGTACATATGACTCAAAGCAAGGATTGCTCCTTCCATAGTTTGCTCCATTTGGCTGTTTTCTCCTTAATAGCCTAGATTAAGACCTGATCTGTAGCTTTAACTTCGAATTTCCTGGGTTTTGTCATGCTTGGCTTTATTTAAATGTAGGTCTGTCAACATGAATAGGCTAAAATGCTGGTCCATCCTGGGTTGGAAATGGATTGTGACAGCTCTATGGCAGAATTGCTTCATATGCACAGTCCCCAGCCAACATCTGCAAGGCAAATGTCAGGCTGTGTCCCTGTAATTTCTGCTATTGTTCCTGCCACTTGCTCCTGAGGCAATGAGCAAGTCGCTGGTTTTCTATTCCCTAGCTTGCACCCTGCCTACCAACCAGGTGTTTTTACATTAAGGGCATTTGGTAGTCACAGCCCTAAAGTGCCTCCTTTGTCACTTGTTAGACCCTGGGGCCTGTCAAAGTTGAAATGCAAAGGAATCAGTTGGTGCTGTAAGGTCAAGTAATGCTGCTGCTCCTCAAAAACCCCGTGACTTCTGTGTGATGCCTCTTCACATCACTTCAGGTGGTTTTTATTGTTGTTTTCCTATATTTTGTTATCCTTGTTACACACACAGTCTCCTTCCAAGGTAGAGCAGGTGACAATATCAATTTTTTTTTTCGTTTGTGTTTGCAATTCTTTTTTGTTGTTTCATATCTTTTCCCGAGAAGATAGGGAAGGGGGAGATACATAACGCTCTACAATCCCCAAGTAGGTCCTATGTAGTTCTTAGAAACAAGGAGAAGCAAAAACTTACTGCTTGAACAGCACATAGTCTAAGTCTGTATTTAAGAACATTTTAAAAGGAGACTAGGTTGGGGAGCTTAGAGACACAAAGACTAGCATGTGTCCATCCTAGAATAAAATTCCGTGACCCCTGGTCAAGAACAATAATAGGAGGAAGCATACCACAATAGCTGTATTGTATCAAAATAGCTACACCGAAACAGTTCTTCCAGAATAGATATAACTGTCTATTTCTTAAAACTCATCACAGGAGAGAACTGGGTTTAAAAGGAAAAAAGGTCAAAGCAAGGAGAGGAGGGTAGGGGGAAAAATATATATAAAAAAATAATGCAGGGAAAATTCAAACTACAAAAACAAAACACTGCAGTACATACACTTCTCCCCCTGGGGAAGGGGTGACAGCAAAGCATATGATGGATGTTAATAATGTTGCTTAATGCATTACTGGAAGGCATTCAGATCCGCCAGTGCTGAGTGTGCTGTATAACCCAGTATGGAATAGAAAGCAGACATGATTAACATTAGATAGGTGTTTAAATCTGTTATGATTGCATCTTGATGGGGCGGTATTTTTTGTTGTTGCTTGATTTTATGCATTTTGTTTGTATCCTATTAGCTGAACACATCAATTTGAATGTTTATATCTTTTTCTCCTGTACCCTATCTCCCTTGCTGTTAAAGATTTCTCTCATTCTTTTTCTCTTGTGTTATGAGCATTATCTTTGCAATTCCATTTATTTACTTGGTATTTGACTTCAAATCTTGCAGGCTTTTCTCCTAAGAAAGTATCAGTCTGTTTTTACTTTTTGTTTTTTTACAATACCTTGGCCTTTCTCTATAGCACTGTTTTTCACTGAGTAAGCAAAATGAGTACTCTGGCTTGAAACAGTAAAAGCAAAAGCAACCTGAGTTTGGAAACAAGACTTAGGCTATTGATAGGGCTTTGTGCCTTCTGGAGAGATTCCTTTCAGTCTTTTGCATGCTTTGTCTTTCCCCCCTCCCACCCCCAACTTCCGTGACAGAGTTGGTTGTTGACGAGTTGCACATTAACAGACCGCTTGCTTTTGAGGGGCAAGGAATCAGTGACACTTGACTAGATACAGCCACAGCTACAGCAGAGGTGACAACAATAGGGAACAGCATCAGCATGCATCCCACAGTCAGCTGAGATGATGGTTTTTAGGCAAATAGCCAGTCGCTAGGCAGCCAAGGACAAGGACTTTCTTTTCCCTCTGCTGAGATCTCTGAATATTAAGCTCTTCTTCCCCCAAAGAAAGAGGCACATTCCCATCCATCACCAACAAGGTGTATTTACATTTCTTCATGCTTGGGATGCGATTTCCAGCTTGGGTGGTGCAGGTTTCCCAGAAGATCCTTGCCTCATCTTCTTGTGTCTCAAGAAGTCGAGAGTCCATTTTTTCTCCCCTTCTCAAGTCTTGGGAAGTGTCAGAGTGGCCAAGCTCCAGATGAGGCAGCTGTTCCCAAATATACTCAGTGGGAAGAGTTTTCATAACAATAGGAACCACATGAAAGCTCCTGGAGTAGCTCCTCCTACTATTGAAGAGTCCTTTCAGTTGAGTGGTTTGCATATTGGGTTGCATAAATGACTAGACACACCAAGGGGTCCATTTGCAGCACTGTGCGCATAGAATTAGACACGCAAGCCTTGCTAACAATAATGAGAGTTGTGTGCAAAACTCTCTGCGCAATATGCTGAAAATATTCTGCTTAGTGAATCTTGCAGCTCACGGCTATTTCCTGGCAATGCTGAGCTGACTTCTGGGAACAAAATGAAAGTCTGGGCTCTGTGTGTGTTCACAGAGCTCTTTCCTTTAATTTAAAAAAAAAAAAAAAAAAAAAAAAAGAGGAAAAAACACCTTCTTTTTCCCCTCCCCTTCCCCTTTGTGTGTCTACAGTATAAATGAACTCCACATCCCACTTTTCCTTCAGCAGCCTTAAGGAGCAAGCTTTAAGGCTGCTGAAGGAAAAGCCAGTTGCCTCGGAGGAGCAGAACACAGATTTCTCGTACTACTGTGTGTCTGGTGTTTGTGCCAGACTGCTTAGCATGTGGCTATGCAAGTGAATCCCTTGGAGAGGCCTTTCTCTTAGCAAACACTGCATGGTGGCATCCTAGAAAAAAAAAAAAAAAAAAAAAAAAGAGTGAACAGACTCTCTCTTTCTCCCTCCCCTTCCCCTTTGTGTGTCTACAGTATAAATGAACTCCACATCCCACTTTTCCTTCAGCAGCCTTAAGGAGCAAGCTTTAAGGCTGCTGAAGGAAAAGCCAGTTGCCTCGGAGGAGCAGAACACAGATTTCTCGTACTACTGTGTGTCTGGTGTTTGTGCCAGACTGCTTAGCATGTGGCTATGCAAGTGAATCCCTTGGAGAGGCCTTTCTCTTAGCAAACACTGCATGGTGGCATCCTAGCTGCAAGCTGACAACATGCTCTGCTGTAGGTCACAGACCCTAAAAATATTTTCAAGGTTTTATTTATTTATCATATATCTATTCCTTTTTCATTGTGGTAAGTCAAAAGACTAAGCAGTATTTTCCCAGTGGAGCTCTGCTAACATTGTGTTAGATTTTATATAAAAAGTGACTGTGCCCAAGGGATGGGGTACAGAGGGTGGCAGCTGAGGACTAGTATCGCTTCCAGGTTCTACCAACAATTCACTCACCTTGAACAGGCCACCTTATCTCTTTGTTTTTCCTGTTCCTCTCTCACCTGCCTCATGTATCCAGACTGTAAATTTGTCGTGGGAAAATGGCTGTGTTTATATGAGGGCCGGGAAAATGCAAATATCTGTGAGTAGAAATGGTAGTGAAAATTGTGACACAGTGGCTGTCATGTATGTTTCTCATTAAATAGGAGTTTCTGGGTTTTTTTTAATTAATTGAAATTAATTTTTAAATCATTATTTAACCACAGAATTGGGGGATAATAAGTTGGTTCAGTTGAGAGGGAAAATTAATGATGCAGCCAGATACATTAATGATGCCAGCCTGTTTCATGGAAGACAGTGCATATAGCATAGTTGTTTTGTTTCCTGAGCACTGAAAGTCTCAAACAATCCAGTAGCTCCTTTCTTGCTCACAGCATCAATTTTGTTTTAAAATCAGCAGTCCCCAAAATCTCTCTCTTTTTTTCTGGATTCACTGTCTTACTGCCAGTAGAGGCCATGTCTGTCTTTTCACTTTGTTTCTGTGTGCCTGCTTCTTCTTTCCTGCTTCTTTTTTCACGCTTCTTTTTTCACACACACATGTACACATACACACACTCCCCCTGAACCGAAACTCAGCAAAGCTCCAGGGAAATGCAGGTCCCTGAGTACACTAGTGTATGCCTCCGTTTCAGGCAGCATATTCCCAACTACCCTTTGCAGCAGTAAAAACCCACTATTTCAGTGAGGTTGAATGCAACCAAAGCCATGTGAGTTTCTGTTTTATTGAAAGGCATTTACTACAGGCTGTCTTCTGGTTCACTGCAGCCATGCACAGCACTCAGTCAGTCCAAAGAGACCACAAGTACCCAGCTGTCTGTACAAAGGAGTCCCCCGACCATGCAGGAGCTGGGCTAGGACACTCTGATGCCTCCCTCCAGGTTACCAGCAAGGAGAAGCCAAAGTGTGATTGCTCCTTGAAGTATGCCTGGGCATCTGGAATCAAAGGCAGAAGCTGCTTCAAATTGAGTTCCTGGAGTATATTCAGAAGGTCTGAATTAGATCATTGGTGTGCATTAAAATCACCATTCCTTTTCTAGGGCTCAGATTGAGCAACACTCAGCTAAACCTGAAGGCAGGGCACCCAGTTGCTAAGCCAGGTGGCATGAATGCTGGTAGATGCAGTGTTTTCCAAACAGCATAGATGGCATCTCAGGGTTTGAAAGCTGTGTGTCCTTGCACAGGGAACTGAGTTTGTGTTCAAAGCCTGAGCCTGTGTCATGGTGATGACGAGAGGTGTAAGTTCAGGTAAGAGGTTGCAAAAGCTTTTGATCAGCAATGTTTATATTGCCCTGGAAATGCTGCTTGCTGGTTACAACTGGTCTTACTGGAGGAATGAGAGTAAAATGAAGCAACAGACCTTAGATTTATAAGCTTCTCTCTAATCCACAATGGAAAGATAACATGCTTTTTGAAACCAGAGCAGACTACTGCACAGCTTTCTTCTCTTTTTTTATGGGCCTTTAGTTGCCTGCAGCAAAGAAAACATCGTGACTTATGTTTCTTCTTCTCTCAGTTCTAGGGAAAATTCGAACTGCAGTGGGCAGTGCACAGCTTCTCATGGCCCAGAAATTTTACCAGTTCAGAGAGCTTTGCGAAGAAAACCTGGTATGTAACTTTTCTTCTAGACACTGTTGTGTGCCTTTTGCTAATCCCATGAATAATCCTACCTAAACTAGACAGATTTTCTGACTAATACGGTAGTTTTTCCAGTAAAGGTATTAATATGAATTTGGGAGTAACTCTGCAAAACTTGGTGGAGTCAGCATGAATTTCACAATATCTTGAGAGCCTTAAAATAACGAGGAGCAAAAAGCTTTGAGTGAAATATCATTGTGTCTCTGCTACTGACTTCAGAGCAGCAAGGATCTGTCCCCTTGCCTCTGAGGTCATTTTGCATGAGCACAGAAATATCTGGGTAAAAGACCTTAAGGTCATTCAGGGTGGACCGGAAGTCTCAGGAGTGGAGCTTTCCCATATAACCCAAATGCTGCCTGTATTGAACAAGACACAAGTACCAGGGAATCACACAATGGAAGTGGGTGCTTCATGTTCCACAACATCAGTAGTAGAAGGGAGAAAAGTAATTTCCAGAGTGCTAAAATGGCAAAGACAGAAAGAGCCATTATGTTGTTGTTGTTATTATTATTACTGTATGTAATCGGTATGTGCTACTACTATCATTATTATTTGCAATTTTATGCTTTTAGTAGTAGTAGAATCAGAATTCTATTCCTGTTGATAAATAAAAATACATTTCATACCATGTATCTAAAGCAGTATTCTCAAAAATACTTAGAGCACTTACAAAAATTTTCAAATGTTTTAATTAGCAATCCATCCTTGCATAGTAAATACAATGCATTTAATTCCCCAGTTTGGGATAAATTGCTAGAAGCCCAGAAAGCACAGAGCACTATGCTCTGTGAGCAGAGAATAAGGAAGGGAAGGCAAACCCTGTGATGATCACCGGAATGGGTTCACCATCTTCCACATCACTTCCAGTTCTCTAAAAATGAAGCCCCAAAATTAAAATCTGCCTGAGTGGATAAATGTAACAGAAAACCTTCCAATTCTTAATATAAAAACTGAAAAAGCATTCTGGTTGCACATCTTTGTAAGTAAAGGCCTACAACTGGGCAACCTGCTAGTGTCCAGCACTGAAAAACTAGGAATCCAGGTAAAAATTCTGTTGTCCTTTTGAATCTAAAATATCTACCTTATTGTTTTCAATAATTGCTGCTTTGGTGGTATAATCATCCCACCAAAATAATTTTGTCATTGTTGCTCTAAAAAGCACAAATCTTTAGAAATTTCTTAAGGCAAGCAACTGACTCTTTTGTGTTTATTGCTTCTGGTGAGGGAGAAAACTTGCACCAAGTAAAACTCGAACCACTTCAAATAACATTCAGGGGTCTAATAATTATTATATCTTCTTCATTAATAACAACATATCAATATAATCTTACAAGGCCTCAGCATCCATTAAGTATTTCTGACTCAGAATGGTGTGGGTAGGGTTAGGATATCACCGGATGTGCCTAGGAATGTCCCTAGGCAGATCCTGCCACGGGGGACCTGCCACCTGCCCTTTCCCTGTGGTCCATGGGGGGTAGCCACTGCCTTCCCTGAGCGGGGGCACAACAGCTTGACACAGAGCCAGACTCCTCACAAAAGTCCCCCACCAGTAAGTAACATTCTGTTTTGTTTCTCTCTCTGTGGCTCACCAATCACTTGGATATGCTGAAACTGCTTTGCTAGCGAGATTCATAGCCATTTGCACAAATGCTTTACATTAAGAGGTACTAAAGCCAACGTGTTTTTTTTCTTCTGTTGTACAGAATCCTAATGCACATCCACGGCCGACCTCCCAGGATTTAGCAGGGTTTTGGGATATGCTGCAGTTGTCCATAGAAAATATTAGTATGAAATTTGATGAACTTCATCAATTAAAGGCCAATAATTGGAAACAGATGGATCCTCATGACAAGAAGGTAGAACATTGTAGATTTTGTATGCTTCATTTAAAACCCTGCACAAATACTGGACAGATTAAATAGGCCTCTGTGTTACAGCGTTGACGTTAAAAATGTGAAATGAAGCTCATATCAAATTAATTTCATTGTAATAACAATGTTTACATAATAATCATCTGGGATATTATCTGTAATATGTTTCAGGCATATTTTTAAACCAAATCTGTCTTTGTGAATCGGATAATGGGAATGTGGAACTTTGTTAAGCTTTACATTTAATCATATTAGATGATCAATCGTTGGAAGGAACTGCCTTATATATTTATTCTAAAATTAAATAAATCACATTTGCGGTTCATATTATTGCATATAGCAAGAGTTCTAGGTTGTGTTACTGAAAAAACTAGGGAAGCACTGTAACCATCACTGACTTTGGTAACCAGATTACAAGCAGAGAGATATAAAAAATATGCCTTCCAAAATGTTACACAAAAATACTTCTGCTTTTTTTTTTTTTTTTTTTTTTTTTTGTCTGTTTGCTTTTTTGTTTATTTTGGGTTTTTTTTAATGGGTAATTTCATAATCAGGTTCATTTTGCTGGTAGTGTTGTTTACCTAAGGTGGCATAAAAATCATCTGGAGCTTTGGTGTTTTTTTTTAAATGTAGTCTTCTTCTATCACCATGAAAAACTATGCCATCTCCAAGTGTGAGCCACATTCCACTTTCCATTCTCATTTGGCACCATTGCCTTATTTTTCTCCTTACTATCCGCATCGAGACAGACAGCACTTGGGTGAGACAAAATACACAAATGTTTTAGAAAACTCTTAGACAGACCCATTCCTAGAGGAATCAACAGTTTAATGTCGCACTCATATAGGTATATAATTTGATGGCTGATTTTCCACTGTGGCTGGTCTGGTACCGATTAATAGAGCCAACAGGTAGGGTCTCTGGAAGGAGGAGGAACATGACTTACAGGTACAGTGGCTCAGGCAGGAGTCCAGGCTGCCCCAGCAGAGGGTCAGCTGGCTGACGATGACCAAAGCAGTGTTTTCTTTCAGACCAATAACCACAGTAATATCACACCCCATCTATCTTGCAGCAGGAAGTTTGCAAAGGCAGTGCTGGTAGCACTCTCCCTCCTCCTGTTTAAGACTAAATTCTCATTCCTGACTTAGGAGTGCCATGTTCACATAATGTATGCACGAGTGTGTTTTGTAGGGGAATTAATGGGAATGTGTTTTACTAAGCCAAGGAACTGAAGGCAAGTCATTTTTTTATCTTCCTTTTTTTTTTTTTTTCCCCAGTATCTGTCAGAAAAGGAAGTTAAAACCAGCAGGCATGCATGCACAGAAACGCTGGTGTATGGTCTTTCATTAGCTTTTACAGTAAAGTGGGTAGGCTGAGTGTTTGCAATTTCAGCAGTAAGAAATGAGAGCTTTCCTTATAAAAAAAATAAAATAAAATGTGCCTTTGCTTTACTTCTGAAAAACATTTCAAAGAGTTTTGAACAAAAAGACTATAATGGGTTAAAGGAAGTTAAGTAGTTCTGAAGAAAGGGACCTACAGTAGGACAGTAAAGATGTTAAAGAATTACACTGATGTTGTTCCTGTTTCAACAGCATTTGTCTATGATTTTAGATGGAACAGATCATCTCCTATTTTTTAAAAAAGGATTTAAAAAAAAAAAAAAAAAGAAGAAGAAAAAAACTTTCTGTGGAATTGATATTTGCAGTTGCCTTTGGCCTTTGCCACTGGGCCCTTTCTAAGCAGCATAGATTAATCCCTGGACGGAGAGAAAAAGTGAAGTATGAATAAGTGTAACTAAGCACCTTTATATTTCAAGCCATGGAAGCTGTTGTGAGCAGCATGAGAGAAAACGAAAGGGCAGAATGGAACCTTTGTAGTGTGATAAAATCCCTTCGCTCAGAGACCATGTTCACAGTTGGAAGGGGATGTAACTTGAAAGACAATCTAATTAACTTGACAAAGTCTTTGTGGCTGCCTGAAATTCAGGCCTGAATACACTTCTTTTTCAGGAGAGATCCCTCTCTGAGGGTTTTTTTTTTTATTGGGTTTTGTGTGTGTGTGTGTGTGTGTGTGTGTGTGCATGCACCGGGATATGCTTGAAAGTCCTCCTTTTTGATCACGTAACTGGAGCTAGCTGCCACTGTGATGATTAATGCATGTTCTCTTAACGGTTTTTAGGTTCTTCCTACCCGTTTTTTTTTTTTCTATTTCTAGCTGATTGTACTTTGTCATGCCTGTTTAGCAGGAGAATAGAGTTTATGAGCTTGCACAGTGAGACCCAAAGTGTGGGCCTTTTGAGTAGCAATGAAGCCACTACAAAAAAAAAAAATACATGTAAACCTACGGTGTTTTTTTAAAAAATATTTATTTTGCTGCACCACCTGCAGGCAGCTAGTTCCCATCTGCAGCTGGGAACGCCAGAGCCATGGTGTCCCCTTGTTGCCAGAGCACCTAGCGTTATGCACGTATAGGAGGGTGTCCCAGGAGTCGGGGCCCTGCAGAGTGGCTCTGCCGAGAGCGGCGTTCTCTCCTTCCCAGCCACGGGCGGCCGCGCTGGTGGCGGGAGGGAGCGTCCGAGATGCTCTCCTGTCCAGCCCCTGGCACCAGGAGGAGACGCCTGGATCCCCCCACCCCGGGGAGCTGCACAGGGAGTCGGGGCCTTGCAGAGTGGCTCTGCCGAGAGCGGCGTTCTCTCCTTCCCAGCCACGGGCGGCCGCGCTGGTGGCGGGAGGCAGCGTCCGAGATGCTCTCCTGTCCAGCCCCTGGCACCAGGAGGAGACGCCTGGATCCCCCCACCCCGGGGAGCTGCACTAAGCAGGTGGTGGTGGGGACCTGGGCCCTGGCAGCACCGGGCGTCTCACACGCACCGTCCCTGAGGAGAAGTAGCTGTGCGGCCAGCCCTTTCCCTCCCCTTTACCCTTGCCCTGTGTTTATGAACCCCTGACCACAAAAGCCAGTTCACTGAAGACAGAAAGGCAGATAAGAACTAACAAACCTTAGGTAAAATGTGTGTTCTAACTACTGACATATCCTAGTTTTTCCCGCCTTTCCCTGAGAAGCTGTATAATGCCATTAACCTTCTGCTTTGATCAGGAGAGAAGGGTCCCTCCTCCAGTGCCAAAGAAGCCATCGAAAGGTCAGGTGCCACTCATACGAGAACGCTCTCTGGAAAGCTCGCAGCGTCAAGAGGCCCGGAAACGGCTGATGGCTGCCAAGCGCGCTGCATCGGTCCGCCAGAACTCAGCTACCGAGAGCGCCGAAAGCATTGAGATATACATCCCCGAAGCCCAGACCAGGCTATGAAGGGATCCAACTGGGAGGACTCTCTCTGGCAAGACAAGCGTCATGTATAATCTGCCCCTCTAGGCTCCTGCTCAAGGTCACCACGAAGTATTTGTACCTCCTCCTCTCCTCTCGCTCTCTCTCCCCTCCTCTCCCTCCCCCTCTCTCTGTACACAGCTGCCCCGATGCTCCCAGTGAACTCCACTGCCGTGGCGTAGTTGTTGGTCCTCCGAGAGATGTCCTCTAATCACCCACGCTTTCTGAAGGTTCACCCATGTCATCATGATGCTTTGTCACATGTACTGATGCTACCACTTTGCCTCATGTAAACGAGTACAATCTTTTTTTTTCTTTCTGTTTGAAACAAATAAACGCGGCGCTCACACTTCCACACACCCGTGCACCTGTACAGTAGATGCTCCATTTAACTTACTCATGATCTTTAGTTGATCTAAAGCTAGTCTGTTACCCAGTGTACAGCAATATCAAACTGTAGGGGACTTTGGAAATTTCAGTCACACAGGGTGATCCTTTTGGACTCTGCCGTCTTCCTCACAAAAGATGAAAGCAGCTATGACTTGGATTCCCTTCTTTTTATTACTGGTTTTTGTTTGGTTTTTTTTTAAGCAGATGGCGCACTTTATTCTAAACCTCCGAATTACACCTTCTCACCTGAATTTAAGGAGTCACGCAAGGGGAGGGGGCTGGGGCGGGAGTGGGGAGGGGGGGAGAAAAAAAACCACACAGATCTATGGGGGTGAAAAAGCGGAAATATATCCCGCAGGTGGGGTGGCGAGGAATAGAAAAGATTCTGTGGAAAGATACCTGCACACTCACAGCTGCACAAACTGCCTCATTTTTATTTCATCAATCACTACTTAAACATTTCAATCAGCAGAAGATTGTAAATTCGATCTTCCAGGGAAATAATCTATTTTGAAAGACAATAAAAGAGTGAAAAGGAAGGAGATAAGAAGCAATGACAGTTGAAGAGAGAATATAAAAGAAGGATTTTCTTGTCCAAGTATTAAGAATTTTTTAAATTGTACTGTATTGTCAATTCCTCTTGTATTGTATTGTATGGATTATATTGGTTTAAAAAAAAAAATATATAGAAAAAAAAGAAAAAATAGAAAAAAAAGAAGAAAAAGCCTGGTTTTGTTGATGTCTGAATCTCGGTGGGACCATCCGATCTCACACATCCACACAGCCACACACAGACACCTGTAGGCGAATTGCTGTACATGGAGCCTCTGATGCTTTTCCAGGCCAGACTTGCTTTGCTCTATCCACAGCCAGTTGTATGCTACAGTTCAGACTGCTCATCACCAAACAGTCCATATCTAGGAGTAACTTTCTAATTCAGCCTCCTCTTAACAGTATAAAAGACCCATTTGAAGAAGAACAATAAAGTTTTTTTCACAAGTTACAGGATCAATATGAACTTATTTTTTTTCATGACAAGCCTTCCTACCCTGTCTTTTGCCATTGTTTTGCAGTTACAAAAAATATGCATCCCAAGTAGCTCATTAACACTGGGGGGAAATGGCAGACAATAGGGCTGGAGAGGAGCCTGAGAGGACAGCCCTTTCGTGCCTGTCTCCCCCCAGCCAGCCCCAGCTGAGACAGGGTCTTCTCCTCCACCTCCTCTGACAGGGACCAATGCTGACCATGCCGCTACCGAGACCTCTTGTGCCAACACTAGGAAAGCCACATCAGGCATGTTGCTGGAAGCAAGTTGTGTGCGTGCGTGTGAGTGTGTGCGAGCACACGCCTGCCTGGCTGGCACGTGCTACTGAATGCAGAATTAGCATGAGCTGGTTTTGGATGATGGGGCTGGTCCAGGGCAGAGGAACTCTGTGTGGCACCCAGCGTGTGCGTGGCCCTGGAGTGATGCTTTCTGGACCTCTCTGCTGCTCCCCATGTGCTCTTCACCACCCCTGCCAGAGCATGGGTATGCAGGAGAGGAAGGCAGGCTGCTTTCTTCTCCCAACAGCAGCAGGGGCAGGGACAGCCCCCCTTCATGAAGGGGTGCAGGGCGCAGCCATTACTCCCTGCCAGCTCTGGCTGGCTGTGCCCATAGCTGTTAAACCTTCATGGACGATCCAACTCATGAAAAATCCCGCTGCAAGGGTGGCGCAATTCTGCAGCTTGCATTGAAAAAGCATTTAAAATTGTCATCAAAAAGTTAAGCTCTTGCTAAAACTATTCATCGAGATCATGCCAGACAGCTTCTTTTCCTATGACATCATAGCCAGGTGCTAATTTGATTTTATTCAAGAAAATAGGAGAGGTAATAAGTTCTGGCACCAGGTATTTTCATGAGAGCATACTAAAACCACTAGAGAATTTGCTACCTCTCAAAGCCATTGATATCTGAGCTATGTCTTTATAAACAGGGCACAAATATTTACTGCTGTGGTTTACAAGATAAGGGCTAATAATTTAATATATAAAAGACTTTTAACTAGAGTAATCAGAAATCCAGTGTAACCCTAGAGTGCTTTGTGTTACAGGAGCTTCGAAAGGTTTGACCCTCTAAGTGTTTGAATGCCAGTGTATTTGCAAGTTTTGAAACACTGCGTTTAACTTTTAGCAGCAAAGAAACATCACGGTGTTTGCAGTATGTAATAGTGCCAACTGCCACTTTTGAGCATACATAGTCATAGGAAGTATTAATTCTTTGGAGCTCATTTGTCCTGAAATATTCAAAGAAGTATTCAGGTGAAAGTCCACATTCACAACTGTGTTGCAGAATTATTTAGTTTTGTGAATGTTTTATAAACAATGAGTTAAGACTTGGGTTGACAAGTGGCTACAGAAATTTATATCCAGCAAGCTCCCCCCTAAAAAAGCAGAAAAGTGAAGACTATCCAGTCTTGTACAATATGAACTACTTATTTGTATATCATAGAATATTTTTCGTATCCGTTTAAAATAAATCTATTCTTAGCTGAATGCTTGTTAGTTCATATGGCGCTGGAGAGGCATTATAATATTTGCTTCATTTTTTAGCAAGATACTAAAAATACAGCCAAGATCAAGAAATATAAAATAGAATAATTCTGCCCCTAGAATGCCACTAGTTAACCACTTGACTCATTTACCGACACTAATTCTAGTATATTTGCTCTATCATATTTTAGTATCATTTGTAACTATTTGGTTTTAGTCTAACCTACCCAGTGTATATTAAAAATGCCTATATTCTGTTTCATTTTGGGACTAAAGTATGACTTTTTTTTTTTCCTTGGGGGAAATTTTAGAAAAGGTTGGGTTTGTCTCTTGCTTCAAAAGCTAAAAAAAAAGAATAAAATAAAAAAGAAGTATTTATTATATTTTTTGCAGATGTTTCCATAAAATTCTCATAATCTTTTTGTAAAGAAAGATTAAGAAATGGATTAAAGATTTTTAATATTTGAAAAGTTAAATAGAAATAATTTATTTGTAATATATTTAATTTTATTTATTGGTGTTCCCTTAATGCTTTGATGTGCACTATCACTTTAGTTTAAACTCTATCTTTGTGAATTTATTGGGGGTTTTTGTTGTTTTGTTTTGTTTGGATTTTTTTTAGGAAAATGATCAAATGTGTATTTTAAGTAACTGGAATGTAAATCACTGGCCTACCTGCATTCCCAACTGTGATTTTAAAAATGTTTTTGATTTGAAACAAAAGACACAAATTTTAAAGCCTTTAAATAGAGGAGAGTGTTTTTATGGCTTAATGATTTGGATTTCTGTAGGGTTATCTATCTAGTTTGTGTGTGGACAGGAAAATGTAAATAGATGAATGTTTCCCATAATGTAAAAAGAGCAAATTAATAAAATAATTAATGCACTGCTTGTAAGAGCTGTGGGTTTTCAATGTAAAATCCTTCTCCCAGAACTGCCAAGGCATTTCATTTGATGTGGTCAAGGATAAAAGCACGACAAGCAGAATGTTTCTCTTAAGCACTCATTGCTTAAGACCCATCCTGCAAAGTCTCATACGAAGAGTCCTGCTGAGCACCCTGGAAGTGCTCATCTGCACAGAGTTACTCTCAGGCGCAAGTGTTGCTGTGATCAAGGCCTCCAGCCTTAGCAAAATCTTCAAAGGCGCTTCTGCACAGAGCCTGGCCAAACCCTGCTGAAGATGTCAGGAGTGACGCTGGTGACTTCAAAAGAAGCAGCAAGAAACCCCCAGCCTGTTTCTTTTTGCCATTGCTGGTTCCCTTCATCTTGCGCTTATCTCCAGCGGTGGCTGGAACACAGGAGGGAAGAAGGATCCCCGGCAGAGGTAGCTGGCGTTCCCTTCACTGGAGTCCTGCTTCCAGACAGGGTTCTTCCTAGTACATGAAATAAAGACGGTCACCAGATCCCACAGAAATATGTTCCAGATTATGTTGTTCATGGCTACACCAGCATTTAAACAGATTCTGATTCAGTCTATAGAGCCTAATAGTTATATTAATAGCATGCCAGTGCTCCACCACATGATGTTTCTCCATGTTTAGACCCTCAGCACAGGAAGATAGAAAAGATGTGTGCTGGGAATCTACAGGCAGAGAAACTTCTGCATAAATGTTTATTACCACTGAGATTAAGTGATTTCATATCCTGGAATGTGTGTTCTCATTGGTCACTGATAAACTGAAACATCAGGGATGGGAAAAAAAAATATGTTTTATTATTTTCAAACCTTTCTGAGGTGACTGGTTTCTTTTTGTAATGAGACTAAATTGGAGGGCGTAAAATAGCAGATATGTTTAAAGCTGTTCTCCAGCAGAAGAATGAAGAAGTCCAAAGCATGGCTCATAGCCCTGCTTTTTCATGCATGCTTAAGGTAAACTTTACCCCTACTTACATTCAATGGTCCCTTCTAGATCAAATCATGAGCCTTCTCCACAAGCACAGCTTGTTGTCAGTTTGTTTGCCAAAGTCTGTTCTCTCCTGCTAGACGTTTATTTCTGCAGCACGCAGCAGGCAAATAATACTGTTCAACCATCAGTTTGGAGTATTCTCGCCTATCAGATCCGTTTAGAGTTGGCGTTGACTGTGAGCTGGCATTTTTTTGTAGCAATTAATAATAAAAATATTGGTCACTCTGCTGCCATTGGCATTTGTCATTGGAATCTTAGGTTTATAAAGTGATTTTGGAGCGCAGTCAATAAGGGAAGTTCTCCTTTCCCACTCTGTGTGACGTAACTTGGTTGGGTCAGCCCCACCTGCCTGCCAAACCTGGGACCAGCACTCACAGTTGAAACATATTTGTCCCCAGTTCCCTTTAGTCTGATACTATATGCCAGTGACCTGTAAAAACATGCTGTCCTGCCATGTCAAGATCCTTCACAACCATCTTCCCTTCCTGGTGCTTTTGTACATGGCAGGGAGGTTTTTGCAGGCTCTCTTTTGTGCTGCAGCTCGGCCTGTGTTGTAGCAGAAGCAGGTAGCTGCTATCACTCGATTCATCTGGATGCATTTAGATGCCAGCTGCAAAACATGACGTGACTGGCCTTTCCAGCCAGCGGCCGGGCTTTCCCACGCTCGGGTCCCACCGGCGGGCAGCACCCTCTTCAGTAGCGCGGGTGAATACAGCGGGTCCTCTGTCACTCGGTGAGTCACACAACCAATCCACAGTGAGACAAAGGGACAAGGAAAGGAACAGGGCTTCCTGGTAATTGTGTTTTTCATGGTTCTCTTCACTGATCCGGTAACAACATAATCGTAGAAATTAGAGACAGAAAAGCTCTGCTGGGGCATTGTGTTAACACTCTGCCAGTTCCAGATTGCAATCTACAGAGCTGTGGCAGGTAAGTCATCACCTCCCTGGCTATGCTTCACCCAGGGGGGAAAATAAAACAACATATGAATGATGGGGGAGGGGAGGGAAAAAGAGATACATTAAAAAACAAGCTGAGCTGTGACATTGCGACCACCTATTATGGGCAACTCTGGATGCAGAGGCCTTCTTCATCTTGACTGTGCTGAACAATCCCTATGGCTGGTTGCCAGGCTTTTCCTTGTTTTTAGCCAAACAGAATGGAAGCAATTATGGATTTTGCCAGCTCTATTCAAAGAGGAGAAATACTGGAGTGTCGCGGAGCCCCTGGAGAA